TTCACTGAAAGGTGTCAGTATAGGTGGGGCTGCCTTTCCCGAGACACCCGCCCGGGCTCTCATACAAAGGGGCATTCAAATTAAGGAGGGTAAGTTATATTGTAATCACTATTCATTTACGGTATATACTGTACATTTTAATTTGGGTTGCTTGGCAATGTTAATTTTATTTAATGAGCAAACTATAGGTTTAATGTACATGTTTATTATTATACTTTTCGTATATTTGATTCAGGATGAGTTTGAATTTTATTAACATTTTTAAGTCCTCATGATACAGTACCTGAATACAGTTATTCTAGATGAATTTAATATTATTCTTGCACAAAAAAACACTAATGAATAAAAATATTTTCTATTTATTATTTAAAAATATTTATTATATAATTATTTTGTACATTAGCCTTAAATATCTCAAAACAAAGTATTTTAAAAATAGCATTTAAGACGTTAAAACACATTGTATGCCAAATATATGTGTTATAAGTTATGAAAATTACATGTAATTTATTTTTTCCCTCGGTAACTTACATAACTTACGGTAACTTACGGTATTTTTCGTAAGTTATTATTTCATCAAATTTAAATATTTTTACCTACCATTGTTAAATAGTGAATATAAAACTATTCGTTACTACATAAAAACAATACAATAGTAATAGAATTGTTAATTAAATAGACAAATTTAACTAAATTCACTTATTTTTTAAAATTGATTAAATTTATGTAAATTTTAAAGTTTATTAGAGTGAGTTTCAGATACTTTGCCAAAGTGTGTCGCTAGTAATGGGTTTGTAAGTTACATGTAAGTTATTTTTTGGTTGTAAGTTACACGTAAGTTACAGTGTAAGTTACGTAACTTACAAGGGCTTACATCTCTAGTTATAACAATAATGCGTTATGTATATGAATGCGTTTATTTAATAACACGTTAAGTCGAGTTCATTAAAAACCTGTTAATTAAAAAATATGAGCATTTAGTACATTACTCATTAGGAGTATTGAAATGATTAAAGTACATTACTATTCAATTTAATTTCTATTATAAAATATAGACTTAACCTGTTATTAAATAAACGCATTCATATGTGTTTTAGTGAAGTATGTGTTATAAAATAGATATTGCATTGACCACCCAGAATATTAAGTATTTAATTAATTAGGTATAATTAACAATCACTATAGGTTGAATTTACAGTTTAAATACAAATATAGTGTTTATTATAAACATTATATAATTTTCTAATTTTAATAATTTATTTTTAATTAAAAGTCTATGCGATGACTGAATTCTTTTGGGTCACCAATGGATCGGATTATAACGACGAGTATATACCGGGCAACACAGGCACTGTGGCACCGGGATGTCAGCTCAAAGTGATCGACTTGACCACCGGTGAGAGTCTGGGTCCGGGACGGGACGGGGAGATCTGTATCCGCGGAAACAAACTGTTTGTCGGATATCTGGACAACGAAACGGCGAATCTGGAGGCGTTTGATAGGGACGGGTGGTATCACACGGGCGATATCGGGAGGTATGACTTGCGGGAAAGGCTGTTCATTGTGGACCGACTGAAAGAGGTGGTGCGCATCGGTATCGACAACCACTACATCAACATCAGTCCCGTAGAGATCGAGCAGTTCCTACTGACCCACCCGTCCATCGCTGAG